TCATTATACAAGCCATAAATTTTAATTTTACAAATCATAAGTTTTATTTTACATTTAATTATTTTTAATTATAATAAATATACAAAAACACTAATTTTTATATTCATGACCATAATAACCTGAGCTACCAAATAATGTAAATTTCATACAAAGTCATTATGTAAGATTTTGCGGAATTTTCGAAAAAATGCGTTTGAATATTTTTAGATTAGAAATGTGATGATCTTTCTATATATCTACAAAATTTTCAAAATCTATCTAGTCCACCAATTCTTTTTCTAGAGTTATAAAATTAGTATCAAATAAAAGTTTGGAACATATTCTTCCACTTAAAGGTTTTAGATTTTTAAAAATTTTATTAAAATTTTTTTCTATTTTTGTTTAAAACTTTTTTTTATAAACAAAAAATTAAAAAAATAAAACCTTTATTTTGAAGTATATGTCATGTAGTACTTATATACTAATTTTAAACAGAGATCTATTTGATAAGTATGGAGGAGATAGAGTTTGAATTTTGTTTATTTTTTATATTAATTTTTACATCTATTTGATCAGCAAAAAATCCGCATATATGATTTTTTATATATGTGGTGGTCAATTATGTTTGTGTTTATACTAATGTGTAACACCCCAATGGTATAATCCCAGACTGTCATAGTCCTTATAGTGATAATAGTAGTATCAGAAGTAATTGTTTCTTTTCTTTATCAGTCAATCAATGGTTTTTTCCCTTTGTAGTGATAATAATATATAGTAATTTGATTTTTTTTCTACCAGCAAATAGTTATAGTAGGGTTTCTATTTGAATAAGAATAAGAATTATTTGTTTATTCATTATGAATTTGAGTATTTGAATTACATTGAATATTTATTCGAATAAAACAAATAAAATGGTAAAATTATTGACTTTTTTGCCCATTATTGGCTTTTTCAATCAAAACTTGATATCATTTAATCATGCTTCACACAGTATAAATAATATGATTTGCATTTTTAAAAACTTTATTTTCATATAAATTTAATTTGGAATTTATTCTGTGAATTTATTATTATTATATTTATTTTATTCTAATAAAATTATATGAGCAGGATATTGCCTTTATTAAAAAAAAACTTTATTTTGACCTACATGTGATTGACTACTCTCATTTTTTTTATCTTTAAAAAATGAATTCAATATTTGAAAAATATTTTAATGAAAATGAAAGGTTGTTAAATACTGAAGATTTTT